TATAGAGATCCCTATTAGAATTTGGCTGAAAATATTAGAATCAGTAATTGAGCCCATTGCCCTCTATGGCAGTGAGGTGTGGGGTCCACTGACAAATCCCAATCAAGATTTCACCAAATGGGAAAAACATCCGATCGAGACCCTGCATGCAGAACTCTGTAAAAATATATTACACGTGCACCGGCACACAACAAATAACGCATGCAGGGCAGAATTAGGCAAATATCCTCTAATCATAAAGATACAAAAAAGGGCAATTCAATTCTGGAAACATCTGAAGCTCAGTGACCCCCAATCATATCATTATAAAGCCCTGCAAGACCAAGAGATGAGCAAAGAAAGCAAGCCCCTCCCTCAGCTGATCCAGAGCTTCAGTCCTGATGCTTCACTAACATCTACTGCTGCTCTGCATCACAGCATCAGAATCAGTCAGATTACTGCACAGATCAAACAGAGCTACATCACTCACTGGCAAACCCAAACACAACAGCAGAGTAAAGTGCAATGCTATCTGGCCCTAAAGAGAGAGTACAGTACGGCAGAGTATCTGTACACAGTGTCAGATAAGAAACTGAGAAGCACGTTGAGCAGATACAGACTCAGCGGACACAAGCTGATGATAGAGACGGGCAGACACAGAAAAACATGGCTGCCACCGGAGCAGAGACTGTGTTCACACTGTGATCTGAATCAGATGGAAACAGAGCTGCACTTCCTAACAGAATGCCCCAAATACACAGATATACGGACAGTGTTCTACGATAAAATACAGCAGATCCATCAGACATTTCAACCTCTCTCAGACCAGGAGAAAGTGGCGTATCTGTTAGGAGAACAGAAGAACTGCTGTGTGTTTGCTGCTCAATATGTGTCTGCCTGTCACCACAGAAGAGAACACACTCAGCCTGCCCTGATCTGATGTTTCCAGCACAGCTACATTATATTAGGCCAGATTACTCTATTATATTACTTAGATCTATATTCTGCTTCTGTAAATGTCTAATCACTTATTTTATTTTTATTTCTAGTTTATATACTTATACATTAGTAATTAATTTTACACTACATGTTTAATACTTTTTATATATTATTATATTATTATTTTTCTTTCTGTTAATACATGTGTACTATTTGTGAGCAGTCCAGCTGCAATTGCTTTGGCAATACAAATGTATAATTTTTGTCATGCCAATAAAGCACTCTTAAATTGAAATTGAGAGAAAGTTCAGTTATATGGATTAGATGGGGATTCTTACGTGGACGAATTGTAACCTCATTTTTGTAAGAGTAACTTTATTTACAAATTATTAGTAAGAATCACTTGTGTATGTAGTTACATAAAGAGCAGGCGACCTCAAAATTGTCTATGTACATCTGCACTAGATGGATAACTTTGGGCAAGATTATTTTATTATTGAATTGAATTTTTTTTTATGGAATTCATTCTATTTAATATTTGTTTTTATTTAATTAAATTTTTTTTTTATTTTGCCTATTTTTATTATTTAATATTTTTCTTATTGTTTTTTTCTTATTTTGTTTTTTTTTGTATTTTATTTTATCTAATTGTTTTGGTTTATTTTTATTTAAAATAAATGCAATTTTATTGTCTTTTAATTGTATTTATTTATTTGTTTGTTTTATTTATTTATTTATTTTAATTCCCATTTACATAACATTTGTCTAAGCTGTCATAGAAGATCATAGAAGGTTACATAATTCTACTACCTACAATCTGAGACATTAACATGCCTGTGAGGCCCAAAAAAGTTATAGAAATATGATAAAAATACGACAAAACAGTGGTCACATGATCCAATTTTGTCCTCATTGTTTTTTTCTAGCATTTTTTTTACTTCTGTTCATATGAGATCGAGGTAAATTAGATCTTCACAGTTATGGAATTTCATAGGCGTCTGCGCGGTCTAATTTGATATGATCTAAACGTTCTCTGACCTTTGTTAATAAGCTTGAGTGAGACTGATTGGTCTCCATGAGGGCTGTGTAAAAGAGCACATCACACTTTCACCATGTTCTGCTCACATGGCCCAGAAATAAAGAAAGAAATAGCAGTGAATTTAATCTGCTGTCTTATTAACCTTTAGAAGAGGTTTTTGAACATATGGAGAGTGTAATTCTGTCAGTGTTCGCAGCTTCTCTTTAGCAGGTTTCTCTGCGCTTCTACAAATGATAACAAATCTGGCCGCCTTTATCTGGGCTCTTTCTTTCTCAGGGGCCTCATCAATACATCGATATATCTCCTCTGTCAGCACCGTCCGCTGCAGATCATCTCTGTCTGTGTGTTACCGAGGGAAATAAAGCCAGGTTTCACAGCGCTTTGCTTTGTTATTGACTTTTTTGGAACATGGCATGTTTGAGCTGATACTTACATGGACAGCACTCAAAGACATTAATAAACTACCAGCTGTAGTATTGATTTCTAAGCATACACAATTACTGCCCGTCACATTTGTGTTGAGCCTATTTTTGTCTTTTGGCTATGAAGAGGATGTTGATATTTTTTAAACGCTCATTATGTTCACAGTCGCCCACCTAGAATTTCAAGAGCCGTTTAATGTGTCAGATACTCTGAGTCGGCCGTGATCAGCTTGTTTTCAGCATTAGACCGATGTCTTTGGGCCATGTGTAGTATCTTGCTGTTTTCAGTGTCTTGTGGCTCATTAAATATTATTTTATTTTATTTTATTTTATTATTTAAATTTAATTAGATTTGATTTATTTTATTTTGTCTTATTTGTTTTTTTTATTTTGTTTAATTTTATTCCATTATTTTATTGTATTGCATGAATTTATTTATTTAAATAATTTTATATTGTCTTATTGTTGGGATATTTATTTTATTCTATTATTTCATTTATTTTTAATTTACTTTGTTTTATTTTATTTTGCCTTATTATATTTTTTCATTTAATTTAATTCATGTATTTTTTATTTTAATTTATTTCACCTTTTTATTTAATTTAATTTAATTTATTTTATTATTTAAATTAAATAAAATTTATTTTGTCTTATTTTTTGTGTTATTTTGTTTATTTTTTGTTTAAATTTTATTGCATGCATTTATTTAAATTAATTGTATATTGTCTTATTGTTTGGTTATTTATTTTATTCTATTATTTCATTTATTTATTTATTTTTTATTTACTTTGTTTTATTTTATTTTGCCTTTTTTAATTTTATCTCTTGTATTTTTATTTTATTTTTGTTTCATTTAATTTAATTAGTGTATTTTTTATTTTAATTTATTTCACCTTGTGCATTTTCATTTTATTGTGTTGTATTTTATTATATTTTACTTTATTATTATTATTATTTTTAAATCATTCCCTGTTCATCCCAGAAGCTGTTGTTCTTGAACATCAATGAAGGTTATATAATTCCACTTACATTTGAAACATTACCATGCCTGTGAGGCCCCCAAAAAGTGCTATAATATGATTAGGCAGTTTTGAGATGAAGTCAGAGCAGAACTACAACTAAGATTTTGGCCAAATCATCCACTTTTGTCCTAATTTCTAATAGGGAGATTTTTATATTTTTTGAACATGTATAATTTTTACAGTTGCCCACTATAAGTTCAAGAGCCATCAGCAGAGTTACGAGTGAGTGTTTCAGCATCAGACCGACTTTTCTAAAGTCTCTCTCTCTGTTTTGAGAAACCGCTGGCTCTTCTGGCAGTTTCTGCTTCACATTAATGCCTGGGGGAGATTCAGAGGCTGTAATGGCTCTCTCTGTATCGCTGTCCGGGTTCTCTTTCCAGAGCCGGCGTTCACATGTTTGTGTGATCTGATGGACGCTTATTCACAGGTGGATCTGCAGACAGTCGTCTGAGAGCCTTTAGCCACCTCTTACTCTGCTTTACATACAGCTTGAGTTAAACAAGTCAACAGGAATGATTCTAAATCCGCCTAATGATTTTGGTGCAACAGATTCCATTCCTCAGCAAAAAAAAACAAAAAAAAAAAAACAGTATTTTGTCAAGCTTCCTAGGAAATTATCAAAACATCATAAAAACAAGATAAATTGCATAAGATAAAGACCTAAGGCTAATGATGATGATGCTGCTGATGCTGATGCTGCTGCTGCTGATTATGCTGCTGATGCTGATGATGCTAATGCTGCTGCTGTTGCTGATGATGCTGCTGCTGATTATGCTGCTGATGCTGATGATGCTAATGCTGCTGCTGTTGCTGATGATGCTAATGCTGTTGATGCTGCTGATGCTGTTGCTGCTGATGCTAATGCTGCTGATGCTGTTGCTGCTGCTGCTGATTATGACGATGCTGCTGCTGATGATGCTGCTGCTGCTACTGATGCTGTTGCTGCTGATGATGATGCTGCTGCTGCTGATTATGACGATGATGCTACTGCCGCTGCTGCTGATGATGCTGCTGATGCTGTTGCTGCTGCTGATGATGCTGCTGCTGCTGATTCTGCTGCTGCTGCTGATGATGCTGCTGCTGCTGTTACTGCTGCTGCTGCTGATTATGATGATGATGCTGCTGCCGCTGCTGATGATGCTGCTGATTCTGTTGCTGCTGCTGATACTGATTATGATGATGATGATGATGATGCTGCTGATGCTGTTGCTGCTGATGATGATGCTGTTGCTGCTGATGCTGCTGCTGATTATGACGATGATGCTACTGCTGCTGCTGCTGATGATGCTGTTGCTGCTGATGATGATGCTGCTGATGATGATGCTGCTGCTGATTATGATGCTGCTGCTGCTGATGCTGTTGCTGCTGCTGATTATGATGATGCTGCTGCTGCTGCTGCTGCTGATTATGATGATGATGATGATGCTGCTGATTCTGCTGCTGCTGCTGTTGCTGCTGCTGCTGATGATGATGAGGCTGCTGCTGCTGCTACTGATGATGCTGATGCTGCTGCTGATGATGATGATGATGCTGCTACTGATGATGCTGCTGCTGCTGCTGATGATGAGGATGATGAAGCTCATGTCTCTCTGTCTGCAGCTCAGGGTCTGGTGTTTCCTCCGCTGGCGCTCTGGCTGACCGTGGCTCTGGCTGTGTGTTTGCTGGCTCTGCTGGTCGCTCTGGCCGCCGTCTGCCACAGGAAGATCAGAGAGAGCTGTGAGGAGATGAGAGCCGGTGAGGAACACATTACATAACCATAGTCTGCATCTCTGGTTCCTCATCCGCTCTTAACGTGTGCGGCTGAGTTTAGGCCTGGTCTCATTCTCAGATGTCATGGCCTCGACACACTTTCATATTATCATGTTTTATTTTAGACCGGCCTTAATCCAGCTGTGGTGGTTCACTCTAAATGTCCAGAAGCCAAACGTCATGCCACTAGACACAATTCTGGCTACACGAGGCCTACTAATGAGAGAATGTTTCAATGGTCTTTACTCCTATATATAAATATGTAGTAAAGTATAATAAAGTTTGTGTGTGTGTTAATGTTAATTAAGTTACATATATTTAATTTAATTATGTAATTAAAATAATACAGTTAATCAATATGATAATATTGATAATTAATACAAAATCAATAAAATGAATTTTGAAATGTAAAAATAATAAATCAATAAATTGCGTTTAAAAATAAATCATAAGATTAATCACGTTAACCACATAATTAAAAAAAAGTTATACAATTTAAAAATTATAAGTTGAATTAGAAAAACATTGAATAAAAAGGTGTATATGAAAATACATTGATGTATATTACATATATGTAATTTTCAATTATGTAGTTAGAAATAAATAATATAATTGATATTAATATGATAATATTGATAATTAATAAAAATAAATAAATAATGAAATATAAAAAAAGAATAAACCAATAAATTAAATTGAAAGGGTCATCGGATGCCCATTTTCCACAAGTTGATATGATATATATTCTTGATATATATTCTTTAGGGTCTTAATGAAGAGTCGATAACATACTTTGGTTAAAATTTCTCAATGGTAGTGTAAAACATCACCCGTTTAACCTGTCAAAAACAGCTCTGTTCACAGCGAGCCGTTTCGGTGCATCTGCCTTTAAATGCTAATGATCTCTGCTGACCCCGCCCCTCTCTTCCGTGGGGTGATGCCAAGCGGCAGCCTCCCGCTCTCTCTCGTGAAGCCAACACGGAAGTGACTTAATCTGCAATTCATCGACTGGCCGCTAGAGGCTGGCTGCAAAAGGGAGTCAGTCCCATAGACTCCTCATGTTAAAATGCCCAACTTTACAGCAGAAAAAAACATGTTTACAGCCTGGTTCAAAAAATGATTTTGGTCTATATAGCTAATTTTGCCCTTCATGACAACTGTGAGGGGGGTGCATTTTTTTATAACTCATCCGTTTAAATTATATTAAGCCTTAAAGTTCTGCATAATTAAGGGCGTGGCCACTTCAGTGACAGGTGTATTGCCGCTGCGGTCACCGGCGTCGAGCAAGGTGGGCGTGGTTTCAGCAACCAGCTCCCGCCTCTTTGCCCATTTTTGATTATCCGGGAGTGAGGTAAAACACCCGTGTCAATCAAACAATCGTGGGAGGGGCTTGGGTCTGTGTGACATCACACAGCCAAGAATCTGAGAACGGCTTGATTTTAGAAAGGGGTCATGATTTATCAATATTCAAAAAAATAAAAACACAGTGGATTTTTATCATTACAGGGTGGATGTGTACACACACTGCCAACACACATTTCAGTTCAAACAACTTGTAAAAGTACATTTTCCATCCGATGACCCCTTTAAAAAATTAAATCAAAATCATGAGATTAACCACGTTATAAATTGAATTTAAAAAAAAGGAGAAAAAATATATATGAAAAATAAACACACACACACACACACACACACACACACACATATATATATATATATATATACACATTAAAAAAATGTATATTTAAATATCGTAAATAAATACATAAATAATTTTGTAACACTTTACAATGTGTCATTTGTTAACATGAGTTAATGTATTAACTAACATGAATGAACAATGAACAATATTTATTACACTGTTTTTAATCTTTGTTAATGTTAGTTAATGAAAATACAGTCGTTCGTTGTTCGTTCATGTTAGTTCACAGTGCATTAACTGATGCTAACAAACACAACTTGTGATTTGAATAATGCATTAGTAAATGCTGAAGTTAACATTAACTAAGATTAATAAATGCTGCAGAATTATTGTTAATTATTAGTTCATGTTAACAAATATAGTTAACTAATGAACCTTATTATAACGTGTTACAATTTAATAAATCAAATGAAATCATGAGATTAATCACCAAATGTTTTATTATATTATACAGTGACAGCCATCGTTTTCTTGCTTTTAGCTGTATGCATCTAGCAGTACTATAACGGTACATAAAGATACAATGTCCACTTAATAGAAAGTGAATATTTTTCATATAATATTTAAAACAATGTAATACATAGAAGTCTATGTATCAGCTTCGATCTTAGAAAGGAGGTCCCTCACAAGGGAATAATCATGTTTGGGCGTCCGTGGCATCAAAACGTTTCAGTCCCCCCCGTGTGAAGATGATAGTGTGCAAACTCACACATTGCACACAGTTTGTTGTTTTGTCTGCGTGGCTCAGTTCATCGTTCACACGAGCTGAATGCTAAAGCCAGAGGAGTCCCGTTCTGCCAAAACCCCACTCTCCTCCAGTGTCGCTGAAGTTCATTAGCGCCATGAGATAATTAGTCGCGCCGTGTAACTAGGGAGCGCAGAACTTGGAGGTTGAAATGACAGGAAGAAAGACTGATGTGTGGAGGAGAAGTGCTGGCAGAGAGATAGAGATGGATTCAGCCGTCACGTGAAGAGAACGAGAGGCGTAATGAGGTCTGTGTGTGGAGCAGGAGACATTTAAATAAAGGTCATTGCAGCACTGCACGGGACTCCTGGGCTTTTAAAAATACATCTGCATCTGCGAGACAGAGAGTGGGAGAAAGAGTAAATATCTGGCCAGAGAACCACAGCAAACAGTGACATGGACTGGAATGAACACGTGTTGAGTCCAGAGCAAATAAACCAACTCTTTCTCCAGTAACCCATGCAGGAATTCTGGAATAAGATTTGGTGAACGGGTCAGCAGTCTGTTGAAGTAATTGAGTTGTTGAGTGAGTCAGATACTCTGCTTTCCCATTCCACTCCTGCTGTTCTCGTCTCCCCATCAGTGGCCTGGCTTTTGAGCTGAAATTTGGCGCTGTAATTAGCCTTTTCCACGTCTGGTTCTCACTGGAGAACTTGCTCCTGTTGCAGCTTGTCATCAGCTTTTAGTCAATAACATTTTCAGTTTGACATGGCTAAAACTGCAGCTTAGCTTACTGTATATTATACAACTTGGTTTATTAGACCACTTATTAAGAAATTAATTGTATATAAATAATAAAAATACTAATTATTTGGGTAACACTTTATTTTAAGGTGTCCTTGTTACACATATTGCATGTACTTACTATTATAATAACAATTAATTATGCATAATTACATGCAAGTAAACCTGAGCCAAACCCTAATCCTAATCCTAACCATAAACATAAAGTAAATACATGTAGTTAATTAATATTACTCATACATAAATGTATAATTACACTGTAACAAGGACACCTTAAAATAAAGTGCAACCATTATAAATAAATTATTAGGAATAGTTTCAATAATATTCATTTAATAATAATAATTAATAATTAATAATAATATTTCTTGTAAATATTTGTGTAATTATATAACATAGATTAAATAATTATTTATATAAAATAAATAATTATATTAAATAGCTTTAATAATATTAATTCTGCAATTCTGTAAATAATACATTTATATGAAATTATATACGGTGGGGAAAAAAAGTATTTAGTCAGCCACCAATTGTGCAAGTTCTCCCACTTAAAAAGATGAGAGAGGCCTGTAATTTTCATCATAGGTATACCTCAACTATGAGAGACAAAATGAGAAAAAAAATCCAGAAAATCACATTGTAGGATTTTTAAAGTATTTATTTGCAAATTATGGTGGAAAATAAGTATTTGGTCAATAACAAAATTTAATCTCAATACTTTGTTATATACCCTTTGTTGGCAATGACAGAGGTCAAAAGTTTTCTGTAAGTCTTCACAAGGTTGTCACACGCTGTTGCTGGTATTTTGGCCCATTCCTCCATGCAGATCTCCTCTAGAGCAGTAATGTTTTGGGGCTGTCGCTGGGCAACACGGATTTTCAACTCCCTCCAAAGATGTTCTATGGGGTTGAGATCTGGAGACTGGCTAGGCCACTCCAGGACCTTGAAATGCTTCTTACGAAGCCACTCCTTCGTTGCCCAGGCGGTGTGTTTGGGATTTGCACAATTGGTGGCTGACTAAATACTTTTTTGCCCCACTGTAAATAGATCAAATAAAATAATTTATTTAAATAATTACATTTAATAGTTGAAATAATATTCAATATATTACATTATATCATGGTCTGTCTGAATACTCGATTCTGATTGGCCGGCAGGTATGCATTAAAACCGTTTAATGAACAGGTAGTTCCAAGTCAGTTTGATTATCGTTCTGTAATAATGTGCTGCTTTCATTAACACACACAAAGAGACAGAGAGAGAGAGAGAGGAGGTGCAGAAGGAGTGAGTGTGAGTGTGTGAGGAGGTGCAGAAGGAGTGAGTGTGAGTGTGTGAGGAGGTGCAGAAGGAGTGAGTGTGAGTGTGTGAGGAGGTGCAGAAGGAGTGAGTGTGAGTGTGTGAGGAGGTGCAGAAGGAGTGAGTGTGAGTGTGTGAGGAGGTGCAGAAGGAGTGAGTGTGAGTGTGTGAGGAGGTGCAGAAGGAGTGAGTGTGAGTGTGTGAGGAGGTGCAGAAGGAGTGAGTGTGAGTGTGTGAGGAGGTGCAGAAGGAGTGAGTGTGAGTGTGTGAGGAGGTGCAGAAGGAGTGAGTGTGAGTGTGTGAGGAGGTGCAGAAGGAGTGAGTGTGAGTGTGTGAGGAGGTGCAGAAGGAGTGAGTGTGAGTGTGTGAGGAGGTGCAGAAGGAGTGAGTGTGAGTGTGTGAGGAGGTGCAGAAGGAGTGAGTGTGAGTGTGTGAGGAGGTGCAGAAGGAGTGAGTGTGAGTGTGTGAGGAGGTGCAGAAGGAGTGAGTGTGAGT